ACTGTGTTAGCCAGGATGGTCTCGGCCTCCCAAAGTGCTGGGATTACAGGCTTGAGCCACTGCGCCTGGCCATAATTCCATCTTAATATCAATTTCTTTAAAAAAATTACCTTGTATCTGAGACTCTAGAGTCCAATAGGGCAAAGCAATAACTGGTCAAAGTTTAACCTCCCTCCCACTCTGGGCTCAGACTGTCCCCTGAGGGCCTGTGTTTTGAGTCTCTTTTCAAAACATTGGCATGAACTTGGGACTTGGCATATGGATCCCTTTTCATCATACCCAGGTGACCTGCAGGGAATTCCGCCTCACAGTGCAAGGTTTAGACCAATTCGATCCAACAGAGAAAGCAAGCAACTGCTATGTTATTTGAAAACAGCTTCATTGGGATATAATTTGCAAACCATACAGCAAACCCATTTAAGGTGTATAAGTCAAGTTTTTCGTGTATTACCTTATTTTTATTTTATTTATTTTGAGACGGAATCTCACTCTGTCCCCCAGGCTGCAGTGTAATGGCGAAATCTTGGCTCATGGCAAGCTCCACCTGCTGGGTTCACGCCATTCTCCTGCCTCAGCCTCCCGAGTAGCTGGGACTACAGGTGCCTGCCACCACACCTAGCTAATTTTTTGCATTTTTAGTAGTGACAGGGTTTCATCATGTGGGCCAGGATGGTCTCAATCTCCTGACCTCGTCATCCACCTGCTTCAGCCTCACAAAATGCTGGGATTACAGACGTGAGCCACTGAGCCTGGCCTTATTTTTTTAAGACAAGGTCTTACTCTATCACCCAGGCTGGAGTTACACATCTGTGGCGTGATCACAGATCACTGCAACCTCAAACTTCCAGACTCAAGCAATCCTCCCAAGTAGCCGGGACTACAGGCACGTGCCACCTTGCCCGGCAAATTTTTGTATTTTTAGTAGAGTTGGGATTTTGCCATGTTGCCCAGGCTGGTCTTTTATTATTTATTTTTGAGATGGAATCTTGCTCTGTCACCCAGGCTGGAGTGCAGTGGCATGATCTCAGCTTACTGCAACCTCCACCTCCCAGGTTCAAGTAATTCTCATGCCTCAACCTCCCGAGTAGTTGGGATTACAGGCGTGAAGCACTACACTCAGCTAATTTTAGTATTTTCAGTAGAAACAGGGTTTCACCATGTTGGCCAGTCTGGTCTTGGACTCCTGACCTCAAGTGATCCACCCACCTCAGCCTCCCAAAGTGCTGGGATTACAGGTGTGAGCCACGAAACCCAGCTTTTAAAAATTTATTTTTGAGACACAATCTCCCTCTGTCGCCCAGGCTGGAATGCAGTGGTGTCATCTTGGCTCACTGCAACCTCTGCCTCCCAGGGTTAAGTGATTCTCTTGCCTCAACCTCCTGAGTAGCTGGGATTACAGGTGTGCGCCACCACACCTGGCTAATTTTTGTATTTTTAGTAGAAATGGGGTTTCACCATGTTGGCCAGGCTGGTCTCAAATTCCTGACCTCAGGTGATCCGCCCACCTCAGCCTCCCAAAGTGCTGGGACTACAGGCGTGAGCCACTGTGCTTGGCCAGTCAGCTCATATATTACCTGCAAAATCCAATCCCATTGTACCTTTCTCTGGCTGAGTCACGGATTCAAGCCTTGCCTCAGGGACACGGGAAGCAATGATGACCGGCTATGCCTTCTCCCCTGCCTCCAGAGCATTTGTATTTTAGTAGACTGAGGAAGACTTAGGATTCCAGGAAAGGTCTTGTCTAATAGGTAGAAGGAAGTGGACTCTGGGCCAAGCTCCCTTTGTTCAAACACCAGCTGTGCCGATTTTTGCTGTGAGTCACTTGGTCTCAGATTTCTCATCTGTCAAACAGGAATAATAGCAGCTCCTCTCAGGACTCATGGCCGGGAGCTTTGGTAAGCAGGTGACTGTCATCAATGACCCTCACACTCCTCTCTCCTCTCTTCCCAGCTACTCTGACGCATGGATCCCCTGGGCCCAGCCAAGCCACAATGGCCGTGGCGCCACTGTCTGGCCGTGCTACTGTTTCAGTTGCTGGTGGCTGTGTGTTTCTTCTCCTACCTGCGTGTGTCCCGAGACGATGCCACTGGGTTCCCTAGGCCAGGGTACATGGCAGTGGCACCTGTCACTGGGGCTCCCAATGGGTCCTCCAGACAGGACACCACTCCCACCCGCCCCACCCTCCTGATCCTGCTGTGGACGTGGCCTTTCCACATCCCCATGGCTCTGTCCCGCTGTTCAGAGATGGTGCCTGGCACGGCCGACTGCCAAATCACTGCCGACCGCAAGGTGTACCCAAAGGCAGATGCGGTCATTGTGCACCACTGGGATATCATGTACGATCCTAAGTCATATCTCCCACCTTCCCCGAGGCCACAGGGGCAGCGCTGGATCTGGTTCAACTTAGAGCCACCTTCTAACTGCCGGCACCTGCAAGCCCTGGACGGATACTTCAATCTCACCATGTCCTACCGCAGCGACTCCGACATCTTCACGCCCTACGGCTGGCTGGAGCCACGGTCCGGCCAGCCTGCCCACCCACCGCTCAACCTCTCGGCCAAGACCGAATTGGTGGCCTGGGCGGTGTCCAACTGGAAACCGGACTTGGCCAGGGTGCGCTACTACCAGAGCCTGCAGGCCCATCTCAAGGTGGATGTGTATGGGAAATCCCACAAGCCCCTGCCCAAGGGGACCATGATGGAAACACTGTCCCGGTACAAGTTCTACCTGGCCTTCGAGAACTCCTTGAACCCCGACTACATCACCGAGAAGCTGTGGAGGAACGCCCTGGAGGCCTGGGCCGTGCCCGTGGTGCTGGGGCCCAGCAGAAGCAACTATGAGAGGTTCCTGCCGCCCGACGCCTTCATCCACGTGGACGACTTCCAGAGCCCCGAGGACCTGGCCCGATACCTGCAGGAGCTGGACAAGGACCACGCCCGCTACCTGAGCTACTTCCGCTGGCGGGAGACGCTGCGGCCTCGCTCCTTCAGCTGGGCACTGGATTTCTGCAAGGCCTGCTGGAAACTGCAGGAGGAATCCAGGTACCAGACGGTGCGCAGCATAGCGGCTTGGTTCACCTGAGAGGCCAGTGTGGGGCCTCGGTTCCCGGGAACCTCATCTGCCTGGGTCTTCACCTGCTGGAGTCCTTCATGGCCAGCCCTCTCACTTCCCTGGGAACTCACATGCTGGACTTCACGGCTGTCAGGAGCCTCCCCTGCAGAAGCCTTGCCTGCTGGGGACCTCGGCCGCTGGAGGCTGCACCTACTGAGGATCTCGGCTGTTGGGAACTTTACCTGCTGGGACCTGCTCCCAGATACCCTGCCACACTGAATCTCACCTGCTAGGAGCTTCACCTGCTGGGGACCTCATGCTGGAGGGCACTGGGCCCTGGGGAACTGGCACCCTTGGGGCCCCACCCAGAGTGATGGTTCTGGCCGATTTGTGATGTTGTTAGCTGCCTGTGAGGGGTGCAGAGATAATATCCCAGCACCATTTCCAGTTGTAATACTGCAAGGAAAAATGATTACGTGTCTCCTCACTCTAGAGTTGTCCCTGTCCGGCCTCTGAGCCCAAGCTAAGCCATCATATCCCCAGGGACCTGCACGTATCCATCCAGATGGCCTGAAGTAACTGAAAATCCACAAAAGAAGTGAAAATAGCCTTAACTGATGACATTCCACCATTGTGATTTTTTGCTGCCCCACCCTAACTCATCCCTGTACTTTGTCATCTACCCCACCCTTAATTAAGAAGGTTCTTTGTAAATCCACCTACCCTTAAGAATGTACTTTGTGAGATTTCACCACCTGCCCCCAAAACATTGCTCGTAACTCCACCGCCTACCCCCAAACCTGTAAGAAGCAATGATAATCCACCGCGCTTTGCCGACTCCTTTTTCCAGACTCAGGCCGCCTGCACCCAGGTGAAATAAACTGCCACGTTGCTCACACAAAGCCTGTTTGGTGGTCTCTTCACACGGACACGTGAGACATTTGGTGCCAAAGA